CGGCAGCAAGGGCTTGCCTCTGCCTCAGGAACCCTAGTTCAATGCGAGGCGTGCTGGACATCGCGACCTCGAGGGCGTCCTCGGCGTCTAGAGATTGTAGAACTTGGAAGTCCGGCCACAAATCTCCTCCCGAAGTCCCCACCTCGGCGTCCGAAGAACAAAGTCCTCTCTGACCCCGAGCTCTTCAACTACTCCCTCTACTTCTGCCTCCAAAGCCCGATCAGGTCTTCTTTCAAGTTTTTCCTCGACCTCTTACCTCGTCGCCTGATCGAAGAGTTCAGACCACCGCGAAGGCTCAAAAGGCTGAGGAAGCTGTGAAAATTTCTTATACCCGGGGTGTAATTCAGCAGGATGTGGGCAGCCCGACCGAATCCGTTGTCACCAGTAAATCTCCAAACCGCGATTAGGTCGGCAAAGTTCATCAGCGACTGAGGGAGAGAAGCTATTTCCCAAGCAGGGATATCTGCACAAACAAAAAAAGTAGTCATGAACATGGGAAATCTGGAGAACAAAATAATAAACCCGAAGGAACCGACGTACTTGTCGTTCTCCATTCCAGAGGGCATAACAAGCCGTTATACTCGGGACCAACACCTCTCTGCCAAGATCCCTTGAAAATAAGAATATCGTCCTTGTACCCCTTGTCCGAGTCGGGAAGATGAGTTACAAGGTACATGGAGAGGTCCCTGGCCTTGAGGTAGAAGTGTTGGTGAGACATGACTCTCAAGAGGGAATAACCAAAAAAGGAGATCGTTCAGCCCAATATTTACCCCGAGGCGCCTATTGAGCTCTAAGACCCCTATAATTATTCTGAAGACATTAAGGCAACACTGTCCGGGGAAGAGGCGGAAGTGAGAGAGGAACTGTAGAAGTAAAGGGGGTAAATGAAACCTAATTCCGCCCTCTATTATGGCCTTGGTATAAAATGGCATAGCATCCTCGGCCCCGAGGGTAGGAGTGTGCACCACCGAGTCATAATCCTATATGTCTACGCACGGGGGAATGTCGTACTTGACCTTAAACCTATTAATCTGCTCACCACCCTTTACTTTATACTTCCCTGACCCCGAAGAACCAGCCTGAGGATTCTCGGGAGCAGGGCGACGACGAGGCATCTCTAAGAAAGTGAGAAAGTGGAGGGTGTTTTTCCTTACAAATCCGTGAGGAAGCTTACCGAGGATTAGACGCTATATATCAACCGGAGACACCTCCAGTCATCGGAAAACAAAAAGGGATAGAAGGAAGAAAAGAGGAAAGATACTAGAACTCACCCGAATGTCAAACAGAGTTTTTTCTGAAAAACTTTAAAGCGACTCCTTCCAGAAAGTTCAGAAGCAACGATGGGTCTGCTGGCCTTAAGACTTTAAGGAAAAATGGACAGTTGACGATGAGGGAGGAAAGAGATCTCCGGCGAAGATTCAAGAAAAGGCTCTCTTGAGGAAGTTCGGAATGGCGAAACAAGAAAACGGAAGAGGAGCCCCATTTATATAGTGGCAATTTCATCATTGGGCGCGAAAAACGAAACGACGCATTTAATGCACACGACATCCCAAGCCGGGGAAAGTGGCTCGAGGCAATGATGAAGCATTTGTGGTTGTTGGGAAACCCTTCGTCTCCTTACGACGCGTGCCCTCGGTGTCAGAAGATCGAAGGCTGGGGGGGCAGTTGATGGGACTTTTCTGAAATACTCCATGATGAAGACACGTGTCCTCGGTATTTACCAAAATATTGTTGCTAAGATCAAGCACCATCGGCGCACAAGGTCCTCGCCCCCGAGGTACTCGTCATATAGGATCATGGCATTCAGTACGTTTTACAACCAACACGTAGCGTCGGTCTGATATGGTACCTCGGTCGATATCCCTCCCTCGGCTCCGAGATGAGCCTTTCCTCGGTGCCGAGGTGTACCCCGTCCTGGACGCCTCATCTACTCTAGGATAAGCTATTGACGTACAGGTCATTAGCCTAAGCTAGTCTAGGCTATTCATCATGACCTCGTCTTACACAATTAGTGTCAGAACGTACTGGAATGCAGGGGCCACAGCCAATGGGGGATGGACGCGTGGCATACGATATCACATCAAAAACAGAAAAGCCGCATGCCGTTGCTGACACGCGACTTGGGAACACAAACGATTAATTGCACCACTCCCTTGACAAGACTGCATTCAATGCGGTAAGGCTCGGAAATGAAAGACAATAAATGCTCCTAATACAGAGCATTTATTGCATCCTCCCCGAGAGGAGTATATTGTACCGTCGGCATCCCGATGACGCAACATTGATTGCTCGGGACCCCGAGCAGTTAAGAAGAAAAGACATTCCTCATCAGAATCAGTGCGCACACTGCATGTACCTAATGATCACCTACTGACTACACTGACAGCAATCATGAGCTTTTGAGATATAAATACTCCTTGCAAAAGGCAAGACGGGTATGCAACAAAGAACTCTTTACTACAATACACACTCAGTGTTTTCTCCTTCCTCTCTCTTTCTCAAAGACTGACTAGATCGTCGGAGGGGATACGCCAGAAAACACTCCGGCGCCCTTCTAACTTATTCCTCTTTGTTTCAGGAACCTCTTTCAGCCTTACTGGATCGTTCTTCCGCTCCCCCAGGGTCTCCCGTTGCCGTTCCAGGTTACCACCGGACCTCGCAGGCTGTTCCAAGCAGCGTGGTTGGTCACTCAACTGGCTCACTCGAGTTCACCAAGGGAGAGATCTGTTCTCGTTTTTATATTGTGCAGGATCTTGCACGCACACCATGGTTTATTATCTGCAAAATCAAGGAAAATCAGAGTATATATAAAGTATGAAATGTTTATCGGGACGGTTATATTAAACAATCATCTATTCTAAAAGTTTAAGCTTTTAAAGAGAGTGTAATTTTAGTATTTATATTTTAATATGTCCCATCACATGTAGGTTAGGTTTTAGACCTAACACGTGAATTTTTTTTTAACAATTAGAGTGACAGTGAAATTTTAAGACAATACTTTATGTTCTGATATCATATTAAGTAAAATAAAAAACACAATCTAATGAGAAGAAGAGGGATGTGTATCAATGGTTGCCTTCTTTAATTACTAAAAAAAACCTTGTATTATAGCTTGTCCCATATCGATTTACTTCTGAATTTGATGCATGATCGACTTTATATATCCATTAGCAAGTGATTTTAAATTGAATGCTTTAACATGGTATCACATCTAAGCTACCAATATTTTTTAAGCAAGACTTTTTATTCCATTGTAATTGAATAGTCAAGTATGTACAAAAATATTCCCATTTGGGGGTAGTTTTTGTTTTCTTCTTCTTCTTCTTTTTTTTTTTTTTGGGGGGAGGGGGGTGGGAATTGTGGAAATTTAAAAACCCAAGTGTAATTCAATTATTATTCTTCAAATCTTAACTCGAGTTTCGGTGTTTTTTTTTATATCTATTTCTACATTTACTAAGATTCAAAAATATTTTTGAATCTTTTGAGGGCATCTAAGGAAGATCGTATAGATTATAAGACACATAAAAAAGTAGTTCACTGCATAAAAGTCTCTCTTCAATATAACTAGTCTTATCCTCCTTGCGATTAAACTGATTATGTGTCTTGAACTCGTGAAATTAAGGTCGCATTTATAATCTGCTCTCAAGAAAAATTAAAAAAAAGAAAGAAAAAAAAGAGAGAAAAGTCTGCATGTTGTTGAGGTACCTGAAATATCCCCCAGTCTTTGCATGCAACATGAAGCTTCTGAAGCTCCATTTCTCTGTCCTTTGGATTGACAAGCTTTGCCATGTCGATCAAGGGTATGCAAACGGAAGGATCAGAGACCGGAGCAATAGGGGCGTCCTTCTCATCTCTTATGTATCGAGTTGGCACGGTCGCCGGAAGTTGGATCACGAGCTCTTTTACGCTCGGGACCGTGAGAGACCATTCCAGATTTTCTGGCACCACAGCCATTCTCAGAAGGTTACAGGGTTCACGGAAGAAAGATTGATACTAGATATTTATATAGACACCTATGTAAGCCAGTGATGAGTGGTTGTCAGCGAGAACAAAGACTAGACCAGGGGGTCATGGCTCCTCACTTTTTGAAAATATGAAGCTGCTCTCTTTTCTCGTTTTTCTAATCTTCCCCTTTAACGCGGGCCGACGGTGGCAGGTGGAGGAGGAAGTCTTACTCATACATGTATAAGTCAATGATCAGATGCTATGTATGATTGAGATCTTTCTATGCATGTTCCTTCCCCTTAATAAATGAAATTATGAAGTTTTTGACTTATGAACACACCTATGTATATGATTTCAAAATTATATTTGTTAGGTAGTTGGTCCTTTCTCTGATGACCATTTTCTAAGAAAATTGTAAGATTAGTAAATGATTTTTATGTTCGTCAATGACACTAATACGCATCAAATTTTTTTATTTTTTATTTATCATTTTTATCACAATAATTACGAGTGTTTTTTTTTTTTTTAAACTCATGGCTAAAAGCTTAAAATAGAAAACTTTTATCGTACAAAAATCATTTTAATGGTATCTCCGTCACCTGAAAAATCTTCCATGAAGAATAAGTTATGAATTCGAATATCTCATGAAGCGTGACCCCTTGAGGTCACCACTCATAAATTTACTCTCTTGTGTGGAGAAACAATTTTGCACAATCTAGCATTAATCCGGTACGCGAGCAAGATAATAGAGCCGTGGTGATCTATCGGGACAAATATAAAAAAAAACAAAAAAGATTCATCCAGCTAGTACCTTTAAAAAGGAGACGGCAAAGCACTATGGACAACCAAGATCCATGAGAGGCACAAATATTATATGATAGCAACTAAGATCCAGACAACCAACTAAGATCCCTGGAGAATTGCATCAGAAAGTCTCCCAACAAAGTTTTTTTTTTTTCTTTAAGTCCCGAATCTATTTAGATATTTTAAATCGGATATGGAAATATACCGAACAAAGTTACTCCTAGCATAAAGCATGCAAATGACAGAAACTTTTATTGCCCCATTTGTCTTCGCAACATAGAAACTGAAGTTCATATGTTCTTTCAATGCCCGCCAGCGAGGCTGATTCGGTTCAGCCAATGGGGATTCCATATAGACCACTAGTAGGCCTGTCGATAAATTAAATCTGAGTTCATCTAAATCTAAATCTGATTAAAATATTTGTTATCGAATTCGATTCATTTATCTGATGAATAGAAAATATTAATCTATATTTGAATCTGTTTATAATCGAACGTCAAATCCGATTACCTGATCCGGTCCATAATGATATTCCACCAAAATTTCAACAAGTTACATTTTTTAGATCAAATACAAATAATCAATATACATATATGTATAGTTTAACCAAATCAAATTTTATATATATATATATGGATCGAATTCGGATACCGGATGAAAAATATTGATCCATATTCAACTAAATAGATCGAAATTCCGACCGAATTCCATCTGAAATCTGATATATTAAAAGACCTAACCATCATAGTCAATTGAACATGTAGGATTGGATATAGAGCCTCTTTCACCCTACTCCAATATTTGGCCAAACACTTCTCAGCTACTACTATTCACAGCAATCCTTAGAAACTCACTCTGGACATGGAGAAACAAATGCCTCTTACAAAATGAAAAACTAAACCCACAGACCATACAAAATGAAGTTTTTCAAGTTCATCAAGAGTTTTAGTTCAGCTTTCCACCAGAGTCCTTAAACATGTTCTCTACCCCAAAATTTGTTGCCACCGTCAAGGAATATATGGAAACTCCAATTGATAGTTTAAGTGATAATAGTGATGAGTTATAAATTTAAACGTCTTGAGTTCAAATTTTGATAATTTTTTAGGGTCAGGCTATAATAGATAAATTCCTTAATGAATATTTTAATCTCGGCGTGAATAATTTACTTTTTACCGGACTAAAAAAGAGATTAATCAAAGTGTATATAAACTGACTCAGTCAACTCTTACTGTTGAACCAAAATAAAAAAAGAAACCGCCTGCTGAGAAAAAAGAGATTAAGCTCAATGGTAGATGCAGCCATAGGGCAAACGGGTTCCTATTCTGACAACAATAGTTAGGAAGAGACTAAAGGCACTTCAAATTTTTCATCACGCGACACTTGTCTTCGGTCTCAAAGTTCTACGGAGAGATCTCCTCCCGACACGTGTCCTTGGCGTACCTAATGCCCCAAGGTTCATTTTCTAAACACGTCATTTTGATTCTAAAACTCCGAGTATAGATAGCGGATTGATGATTATCGTTACTTAGAGTTAGAATTGGTCAATAATCATTGACGTGCTTTCCTAAAATATTCAGAATGGCATGAAGAATAGGTCAATAACCAATGATAATGGTATACGAGACACAGAACACAGAATTAGGGGCCAATGGATAAAGATGCCCCTACCCGTGCGCAGCCATCGTAAAGATGCATTTAATAATCTCTCAAAATGATGAGACGTATTTATTGCTCGGAGAGTCTCAAAGGAAGAACATTAAGTGCTCGGGAGCCCCGAGCATTTAATGCTTAAACTTCTTCCACACAAAATAGAAGGTGCTCTGCTCAAGAATTGAGGACCGTCTGCTGCCTTCCAAATGGGCCAATAAGAGACTTCTTCACCAAGGGGCTCACCTATCCGCAAATGATTACCTCCATGGAAATATAAATAAGTATTGAAAATTCAAAAAAAGATACGCAAATTTGACCCAAAGCAATAAAACAATAAATTCTCACCTCTCTCTCACGTATTGACTTGATCGTTGGAGGGGTCACGCCAGAAAACACTCTGACGTCTTTCTATCCTTTTTTTTTTTAAGTGGCAGAGTTCATCTCGACGAGCTGGAATCGCACGGACTACTGGAAAAGTAATTTATCACCACTCCTTATTTCGTTTCTTGCCTCTGTTTGCCACGAATTGTCGACTTCCCAGTTAAGACTCATGTTCACCAAGGGAAAGATATGTTCATTCATGTATTGTACAAAAATCACCACACACACTAACTAGAAGTCAAAAACATACAGAATATAAAATTCATCACTCGACTAATCGATGGTCAAACAAACTAAACATAACGAAGTAGTGAGAGATTAATTGTAATTGCAACAGCAATTGCAGGAATAGATTGACTTTCTTTTATTTTGGTAGTCCTCTAACTAAAATGGAAAACTCACTTTTCGATTTTCGTAGCACGTCATGAGCACCGGGCTACGGGTGGTTGAACAATTCAAGCGAACATATTTATTCTTTGTCTTTAACCAGCTGGGGGAGTTTAGTTGGCCAGAGCTTCTGACTTCCCAATGGGAGGTTGGAGGATTGATGTCTCTTGGGCGCAACAGTGTGGCTGCTTTGTAGAACAAAATCTTAGTTGTTTGGACGAATTTTATCTAAGTCTCTGGTGTAGGTCTTAAGTTCATGGTGAAACGCAAGTTTTGATTTAAATTATGTATGAACTGAAAGACCGATTCATAACTCGAGTTTTACCCTTGGTTCTATTCAGAATTATGAGTCTGAGAGATATAAACACGCCTCTACTCTATAAGGATAGACCATAAAATTTCCCTATTTCTGAAAAAATAATAAAAAGAAAAAACAATGCAAGCGAATTGCCCTTCATACTACCAAAAAAAAATGAGATTCTTGCATGACTTAAGAAGGTTACGGTGAGAAGGTTACGGTGAGAGTGAAGATCACTTCGGAACAAGTGGGCACGGAATGTAACCAAACAACCAAAAGTAAGCTAATCATAAATTCCTGGGAACTTCTCCCATATTGTTATCAATGTCTTTATGTGGCACGACCTGTCGACATCACACCACTGACCCATTGATTGCAGAGGCACTTGCAGCTAGACCGGCAGCTATGTGGGCTTACAATAAAGATTGGAACTATTCTGTCATTGAAAGTGACTGACTGGTGCTGCGATCGTATCTAACCACACTACACCATTCAACGAATTGTCCAAGACACCATTGTTTGGTAGGTGAGTTTGAATGGAATGTAAAGTTGAGTTTTGTGAAAATAGTCCAATATACTTTTTAAACTCATGTTTGATTCAAAATTTGATATTTAATATACATAAGATAAATAAATTCTGATCGGTAATAAATAATTGATTAAAACCCACAAATAAAGGTTTGATGAAACCCATGGGAGTAGATTTCAAACCCGAAAGATTAGATTTAAAGACAAAAAAACTATTTACCCCAAAAATCATTCTTATATTCACCTAATAATGAACATTTTAGTAAATTGAGTAATATGATTTAACACAAATCTAAGACTCCTACATGTATCTATATCACCTACCAAACATGGGATTGGATAGGATTTTTTTTTTATAAATCCCATGTACAAATCCTTGGGGTTGGATTTGAAAAAATTCATAAATTCAATTCAAACCTCCCCCAAAAAAAAAAATAATAATATCCAAACAGGCACCAAGTATATTCTAAACAAGGATCAGGACTAGGGAATGAATCATGCTTAAAGGGACTCAAATTCAGCAGCACATGTGCTTGGTAGATGGGAATTACAGGCATAAACAAGTGGAACACTTTGAGTTTATTACTGTCTTGTACTACAGGTCTCTTTCGCTCATAAATTTGCTAAAAATGCAAATTTTATTTGATAAGTCTGATGAATGGGAGGAGGAGGCACCTAATTTTGTTGTGCTCCTCCTTCTTTTGGCTATGGCTATTGATAAGACGTGGTTTTGACATTAAAATATAAATATCACTCTCCAAGTTTATTTGTTAGTTCAATTTTACTAGTCAATTTCATTTTCTAGTTCACCGAAAGTAAAGGTGTCACTGTTGCGTTATTTTTGGTCATATTATTTTTGTATCGGGTCATTTTTGATGCGAGTGTAGTTTGTGTTAATAAAAAATTATTTAATTTTACAACAACTCATGTAATACTATTAAAAATAATTATAAAATACTTA